ATTTATTTACAATTTTTATCAGTCCATATAATGTATGCTTGAACTATAAGAAACTTTGTTTTTTTCTTCTTTCTAGTTTTATTCATTTTGTACGTCTTTTAGCTTTTAAAAATGTTTTTGCTATATTTGGCGTTTTTTCTAAACAGTTATATAATAGTCAGGTCAGGTTATTCTGCTACTGGTGACATGTAACCTAGTACAAAATGCTTCATGCCCTGCTGCCATGTCGGATATGCTTTTTTAGGCGAATGCTAGGATAAACCAACTCCAATATAAAACACATTAAAACAACTTAAAACACCTGCTTTGGATTATTGGTTGAGTGAAGGCTAGAGATGGTGTCTTAAAAAAATTACTCATTTTGGGCAGATGTTAAACGCATCCGGCTACACTCTTATAGACGGTCTCCTAAGCAAAGACTTAAGGGGTAAACAAACTCTGTCAGTTAATCAGCCTACCAACCCTTTTTCATTTATTAGGCTAGTGCAGATGTATTTATAATACATTGTTTCCAGTTTAGGATGTTAAATGCTAGATCTTCATGACTCAATGCATGTGTTTTGCTTGCGTCTTGGTTTTTACGACTGGGCAACTCATTCTCTAATCTCCTAATTAGGGTGCAGCTCTAAAACTTAGTTTTATGGTTCTGAAGCAATTTAGTAGTCAGGTTTCCTAAACGTTGTAGAAGCTCTCAGAAAGGCTGATTCCATCAACAGCTGTAAATTTTCAGAATACTAACAAGGCCATATTGTACATGGATGATGTCCCTGTTTGTACTTTTGGTATGCATTGTAGAAGTAGCATTTGGAGGCCTTTGTTACGGCTTAAGGTTTAATAAAAGTAATAAGGCAATGGCTTCGATTATTAAATAGGGTAATGCATACTATCGTTGTTGTTGGTGAATTTAATATTCATCACACTGAATAGCTTGGCTCTAACCTTTAACAGTATTATTAATTAGGCAAATCTGTTATTTCACATCTTTTGAATGGTTTAGACTTTTATCACCTGATCTAATGACAAAGTTGAATTGTTTGCTAAGAACTTTTAATCAATATCATTTCTTGATTCCATTAATTGCGTTTTATCTGATTATGCCCATAAACAGGTTGATCAATTGCTTGACTTACAAATTACTCCAGCTTGTGTATCTAAAGTGATTTCCTGCTTAAACTCTTCTACAGCTTGTGGTCTGGACAATATATCTGATGAAAAAATAGGAAAATAATAAAATAAATTGTTCTTTATTTGTAAAATATATTATTTGAATAATAACTTTTGTAATAATAGAATAAGTTAAATAAAAGAATAACATGATTTCTTTAATAAATGTACTTACCACATTTGATGCATGTCTGAAATTGTTTATTTTATAATGACAATATTAATACGAGCTACTGGAGTTAATGAATATACAACAATTGCTTTGTTTAAAAAAATGTGATTAAAAGCTTAAAAAAAGTTTTAAATAGGCTCCTAAACATTTCATTAAAACAGTTCAGTAAAGTCACAATACTCTAGCCCACAAGATTTTGGAGCATCGTCAATAAAAATAGTTCATTAGGAAATAAACTTATGGGTTTAAATCCACAATTTGGATAAACCTACTAAAGTGCAAACTATTTCAATGAGGTATTGAAAACAACCGAATATTTTATATTTAAATATTAGTAATAATAACTTTTTAATTTATTATATGAAAAACTTGTTAAAAAAAATTAATAAATTTTCTGCTTTATTCTACTTATAAAGCTGAAGTGAAAACTCTTAACTTTCAGTTAATGCAATTCAGAAATGAATTGATTGAGAAATCTAATGAAATTATTGAACTTAAAAAAAATAATGTCAGACTAGACCATAGTAAGTATATTTCATACCAAAATCTAGATTATAGGGAAAAGTTCTGATAAACAAAAAAAATTTTTAGATAATAGATAAACAAATAAATTTTTTCAGGCTTGTCTAGAACTAAGTTTATGTGGCTCTTTGAAAGAATTCAGAATTATATTACAAAAGTTCACTCAGGTTATTGTTCCAGGACCAAATCTTAAAACGAGGGTTCGAGGGCCAAATCATAAAACTAAAATTTGGTCTATTAAATAAAGATATTGCTTTTTGATTTAGACTAAGCCTAGCAGTAGTTTTATATATTTTTAAAACAACAATACAAAATCTTTCTGCTATAGTTGTCAATCTCATTTTTTGGCGAAATCGTGGAATAATAAGGAGTAATCTTCCTATATGTTTTAAAAAAAGTTCTAAGACTGTGTCTGTATTATTGATTATACCGAAGAATTTATTGAAAGACCAAAAAATTTAACTTTACAATCAGAAACTTGGTCGACTTATAAACATAACAATACCATTAAATACCTTATTAGTAATCCACCAGCACAAGCAGTCAGTTTTTTATCTTCTGGCTAGGGTAGTCGTGTTTCAGACAAACAAATAACGTTTGAGTCAAACCTTTGTCAGACACTTAACCCTGGCAACTGCGTTCTTGCTCACAGAGGATACAATAATAAAGATGATTTAAATGCTGTTGGGGCAACGTTAAAAGGTCCAGTATTTACAAAAGGCAGACAACATTTATCTGGATGGAAAGTAGACACATCTAGACAGATATAATTTGGAAAGAGTGATTGGTTGAGTAAAAATATTTTGCATTATTCATATGGTTGTACCAATCACTCAAGTGAGTTTATTAGATGAGATTATGATTATTACTTGTGCTCTTTCCTTCTATTTATTGTCATTACGACGTGTTAAAAGCTAATTGTTAATAACAATAAAAACTTTTATTCCAAAAATTTATTTGAAAAATTTGTAATTAATTTTAATTATTATTCTTTCAATAACTTTTTAAAAGAAACTGATTTTAGGGTACATTTATTGATTTTAGGTTATAAAAAAGAAATACAAGAAACATATTAAAGTTCTTGCATTTTCTTTTTTTTTTCTTACAAGTATGCGTGCACGCATGTTATTTACAAAAAGATGTGACTTTGCACGGAAACTTATCTGTATAAATGTGGTCAAGTTGTCTAAAAAAAAACTTTATGCATGGACAAACAAGGCGTGCAACCGTACGCACGATCCGGCAAGGCTTGTATCTGCCAAAGAAAATCTAAAATAATTAAAAATTGAAATCTTTATTAAATAAATGTATTTTGAGAAACATAATATTATACAGTTTCTTATCAATAGGATTAGTGAGAATTAAAAAATTCTTATGGACAAAATAAATAACACTATGTTAAATATTTTTACAAAATTTTCCTAAATTTTAATATTGTTTATTAACTAATTTTCTGTGCTAATTCCAAAAAATTTTAAATTTTTTATTGAAGTTATAATGTTTGTTGCATCAACCAGCAATCAAGTGCCGATTGTCAGTACACACAAATTATTTCATGTTTTTGTTTTTAGTGTGCTTCTGTTGCAGCCTATGCTCGGATGGGAAAGAAAAGTTGTGGGTTAAAAGATTGATAACAATGCATACATTGAAGACTGAAAAATATGTCAATGATAAGTAAGACAAATACAAAGTTTTCTGTTACAAAATAGTAAAATTTTTCATAAATATATAACAACGATTTCGATGCATGTTTTAACTCTCAAACAAAAATGATTATTTTTTAAAACCTCTTAAGCTATTCTATATATGTATTTAATACAACTTGTATGCATACTTATGTAAGCCAGGTAAACCTTTTCTCTTTTTTTATAAAAGCTGATCAGAACAAACCATAAGACATGTGTGAATTACTTTAGTAGGATGCCTATAAATTAGAAAAAAGGCAATGTTTTTAGCCAGCATAAGGAGACAACCCAAGAACCATCACAATGATAGTTACTTTTGGATGATTGATATTACACAGTAAAAAAAAAAAATATCATTATCAAGACATACCATCATCTAGAAAACTCACATGATGCCATTTTGCAACTTCTAACAACAAGGCTGATGGAATTGAATCTACATGGGGAAGAATGCAGGACATATTTGTACTGAAAGAATTTGACACATTTGTACATGAAGAACTTGAATGTTAGTATGACTTGTGTAGTGTCCCGTTATAACAAAAGTTCAATTTGATTTGATTGGTTTGTTTACATTTCTTAGACTGAAGCATAATTTCAGAACTACAGCCAGGATTACTCAATGCTCTTAAGTAGATTCTAACAAAGCCTCTAGTAGATTCCAACTAAACTTCTAGAAAATTCCAACAAAACATTTTTTAGATTCTGAAAAACCCTCTAGAAGATTCCAACCAAGTTTTACAAACCTCACTTTATACAAGTATTGCTAAAACAGTTTGTAAAGGCATTAGATTTGGGAGGATATGCTTCCTAAACTCTTTGTAGCAAATATTAAAGGTGGCATATTTATTGGATCCTAAATAAAGACAATGTTGAAATCAGAGAAACTCAAAAGAGTTATAAAAAAAGTTGAAAATGAAGTTTGGTGTTTGTTTTGTGATAGTAAAATGTTGTTCGTGGATTCCAAAGTAATTGCAAAGTCCCCAATAACAAACAACTGATAGCAAAAGTTTATTGGAAAATTTAAGAAATTGGGTTGTCATATGTTCATAAAGGTTAATATGCATTCATACATATATTTCTTCTCCAAAAACGTTGGGTGGTGTAAAAAAAAATCACGGCAAAAGACTTTATTAATATATTGCAAAAATCAAACATAGATATCAAGTACAACAGAATACTACTATGATGAAAAATTATATATGGTCTCTAGTAAAAAAAGATGAATGTATGCACTCAAGAAAATCTCAATCATCAAAGCTTAATCTAACTGTAAGGATAGAGTTATCATAGCATTTAACATAGAAATTTGTTTTTTTTATTTTTCCTAACATCCGGCTTTCTAAATAAAGAATATCTTTCACTATATGAAAAAGTGCTATGTGCAATGTAATTATCCTTAAAATATTAGAATTGATTGATACAACATATTGACTAACCAAAAATTAACTAAATACCTTTTTGTATGTTTGGGAGTATAATCTCTACTGCTATATCACGGTCACATCGATTTTGTTCATGTAAAAAACCCATAGCATGAAGCATTTCGTGCAATATGATCCCTATATAGAATATTAAATTATATATATATATATAATTTAATATTAAAAAATGGATTTTTTTATATATATATAAATCAAAATTAAAAAATGGATTTTTTTATCAGAATAAATATATATATATATTTTTATTAAATTAATTTTGAATTAAATTATATATTTTTTAATCAGATATTATATATAAATGTGATATTTGTTAATATTATTATTGTTAATTTTATTGTTATTATTATTGCTATTATTGTTATTATTATTGCTATTATTGTTATTATTATTATTATTATTATTATTGCTATTATTATTATTATTATTATTATTATTATTGTGGTTGTTGTAATTTAATTGTTATTATTATTGTTATTATTATTGCTTTTGTTATTATAATTACTAATATAATCATTACTATTATCATTATTATATTTAATAGTATTATTGATTTTATTATAATCGTCTTCGTTTAATTTACATTATTGTTATTATTATATGATTGCTATTATTATTTAATTGGTGTTTACCTTAGATTAGTACTCGTACTATTAGTAAACAACCATGAAATGTAAAATTTTTATTTCAGAATATATTATTATTGTTATTGTTTCTATTGCGGTTGTTTTTTTTAAGTTTCGATTAATAACTTCGCATTTAAAGAAATAAAAATAGTCGTTAACTATAAGCAATTTTGTTTTTTGTTCGATAAAATAATTAGACTAATAGAGATTAAGTTCAAGTAGTTTTTAATGTTATTTGAGTTTTTTTCATTAGTAAATAGCAAGGAGGTTTAAAAAACAGTAGACGCCGTAGTATATACTTTAAATAAAACGCGGTGAAGCCAGTTTTAAAAGTCAGCCGCCATCTTGGTTAACCCAAAACAACGAAATGCTTTGCGCAAAACTTGATATTTTTATTAAAAAACTTTGCTTAAATCACGTCAAAATATTGATATAAATGATTCAATAATTTGCCACTTGTTTCCGAGGTTGTAATATACTACAATAAAATTGTTTGCTAACTGAATATAGGGTTCAGTTAATTCCAACCTATTGGAATACTGAGTAGACATACAGATAGTAAACACGCTTTTAGAAGATGCTATATTTTACACAGTGTGAACATTTTATGCACTGCTTCGATTTAGAGGTTTTAGGTTGACCTAAAAGGTACTCAAGATGTTTCAAAAGATATCAATACTTTGGGTGGGCATGAGAAATATTCCATTGAAAACAAAATAAAAAACATCCCTTTTTTGGATTTATACGCTTTTTTAAATAATCACTTTGCAAAAGAAATTTTAACTCAGTAGCGGATCAAGCGTTTTTTGGTGTTTTAGATACCAAATTATAAACATAGAGTAAACTCCAAACATTTATATGATTATACTAGTGTCAAAACAAGGACGTTTTGTAAAAATATCGAAATATTTGGAGCCAGGGAACTAAAAAAACCCTGTAAATATTGCCCCATGCTATAAAAAGGAGAGCAACAAGTTCATAATTTTTGTTATAAACTATTCTTAACTAAATTCATAAAAATTTAAAAATTTCAATTTTTATGAAAAAATCAACAATTTTTATATTAAATGAATTATGTTATTCTAAATTTGTAACCCCTTTAAATTGAGGGGAGTTAAAACTTTAAATGGCCATCATTTTTGAACGCTATAAAATTATTGCACAAAATTTAAAATTTCTTATGAAAAATAAACTTAGCTGAGAATAGTAAACAAAAAAACTTGCAAACTCGTTGCTCTCACGTTTAGGGCAAAGTGTGTGTGGGGGGGGGGAGGGAGGAAAAAATCAGGGTATTTATTGTTCCCAGGCTCTAATCATGCCAATAATATGCAAAACATTCGAATTTGACATAAACATAAACATATAAATGTTTGGATTTTATCTTATGTTTGGAAGTTAGATTTCTCAAACAAAACAAAAACACAGAATCCACCACTTGTGTCAAATATGTAAAAATGCCTTTGTCGCTATTTTTTTCTTTATTTTAGACCTGAAAAGATCTCTGCATTAGAACTGTTTAAAAGTTTACTTTACATTTAGATATTAATATAAAAATTATATTAAAAATTCATTAAAAAACTGCCAGTATTGTGTCAAAATAAGCTTAACAAGACAAAGGTTTCATAAAGAAAACAGGAATATAGTTTGTGTTTGCTGTCTAAATAAAGACGTAAAATGTCATAAATTATAGAATAGCCCAGCCCTACAAAAATTAATAATTTTATATGTGGATCCAGGATTTTATATGGAAATCAATTCTCTATCATCTTGAGTTTGTTCAATATGTAAAAAAGGTTAAATAAAAGTTTGTCATTAATGCTGATGTATTGACAATATATGAAAATGTAAATATATATAAACGTATATAAAACACTATATTAAAAACTTTCAGAATGAAGGGTATGTTTCTTAAAACATAGAAGATTTGTGGAAGATTGGAAGAATATTATTACAAAAACTAGGTAGGTTACAGGATACTAATTTATACATATGTCCCATTTGCTGTATTGCAAAAGAGAAGAGAAGTCATAGAAAAATCAATTTTTCTGAATTTATTGATGATTTAAGCCCTTAGATGTAAATAACGCATCTTTTTGCACAGATTGCTGCCAAAAGGTAGGCAAAGGTATCAGACACCCTTGCACAAAATCTGAAACAGAGAATAATCTACATAAGCTCATTCTTTCTTAAGACTCAAAAACCTCCCAACAAGTTATTTCCTCTGTACTAAAAGATATGTATAAAACATCTGAAAATAACAAAGTAACTGTAACAACTGGTAAATGTGTTTTTATATTTCTCTACCTATCTATATTTATTATTAATTTTATAAAATAAATTTATATTAAAGTTAAACATAAGCGAATAGAACGTTTGTCATATATTTTTTGTAGGTGGTAAAGCCCTTCATGTTGCTCTCTACTCTGGAGATGTGCATAAACCTATTTTATAAATATCTTCAGATACATTATTTATTATATAAAAAAGAAAATGGATTTTCCCATGTCAGCAATGGATTGTATAATGACTGAGATACGTAATGATTTGGGTTGTGGAGGTAACAGTAATGTACATGAACTTTGTTTTTGCATATACTTATATTACGTATATATTTATAAATTAATCTTGTATTTTTTGCTAGATATTGAACCTAATGCCTCAAAAATTGTTAAGGACAAATCTTTCCAGTTAACCCAATTTTATAAAAACGTTTTATGCATCTTTCAACAAACACACCACAATGGAAACTGCAAGGTTGTTGATACAACTCGAAAAGAAGTTGTATTTATTCCTGAACCGTGGGAACTAATAAAAAAGATTTGTGAACACAGAAAACTTAACCCCTACATTTGCTTAATAAGAGTTGGTATTAATTGAAGAAAGGTTCACTGAAAGTCATAATGAACATCTTCAACCTAGAAGAGCTACAATCAGAGAACGAGAAACATGAAAAATACAGGGGTCAATACAGTTCTTATTTTGGGTCTTGTACGTAGAGTGCAAGAAAGTAACTATAATTTGGAGAGGCTTATTAAGTTACTTAAGCTATATGAGCTAAAATACTTAGTAGCAGCTGACCTGAAGCTTATTAATTGTTTACTGAGCATTTCTGTAAGTTAAACATTAATTATTTTGTGTAAATGCATGATAATTTATAAAAGGTGATTGCTTTTTATTACTTTATCAATATTTAACTTATTATTTATAGTCTTTTTTAATACTAATACTTTAAGGCACATGAGGAAAGTATGCTTGCTGTTACTGTGAAGGTGAAAAAGACAACAAAAATGGAAAGTTGAGGACTTTTCAAAGTTTGACTAATTGGTATCAGAAATTTATTGAGGATGGGGAACTTAATAAGGTTATAAAAAGCCATAAAAATGGGTTCGACCATGCTTAATTAAGAAATCTGGAGAAACTCTTGTTATTGACATAGCTCCTCCTCCTGAATTACATTTGTTTTAACATATTGTTACACAAATAACAGATGTTTTGATGGCTGAGGAGTCAATTTAAAAATTCCTTATTGGTAAAACTGTAACTAGGGAAGGTTACAATGGAGGAGGATTTCATGGACCTAACTGTCGAAAAGTACTTTCTTGCTTGGATAAACTCATAACTATAGCTCCACTTCTGATGATACCCTGTAATGAGACTTTAAGTAAATTCAAAATTGGTATGTTATTAGTTAATTAATTTTTCACTTATAGTTTATAAGTAATTATAAACATAATTCCTTTGAATTTGTTCATTTTAGTGACAGAAAGATGATTTGAAATGAAACTTTCTCTTGAGTTCAGCAGAGATATTCAGGAATTTTTCTCAGAAATATGCAACTTGCATAAGTATCTGATAGAATACACGACACACAAGATCTGTCTAGGCTGGAAATTTTGCATCATACAGTCTCACCTCCTCATGTTTCTTGAAAAAAAAACAAACCCTGAGGAATTTTCAGTGAGCAAAGCTGTAAAGCTATGCACAAAATTATTAATAAGACAATGAAAAGATTCGCAGCTTCGGAGCTGAGCAAATGCCATGGAGAAAAGCTTCATAAAACGGCAGAATCCTACTCTAGTAGAAGGATGTGAAGAATTTAATATATAGTACTAAATATTGCATTATTGTAAAATAAAAAAGTAATCATGAATAAAAAATGTTTGAAAAAATTATTACTTTGTATATGTCTCAGTGTTTTTTGTTTTTTTTTAATTTTAATTCACCTCCTTAAGGCCGACAAGACCACTACAGTCAAGGAGGCTACTTATTTGTGGCTATAACCCTCTCTCAACACAATAACTCCGAAACACGAACCTTGACGAACAAGGCAGCTGCGTGGAGAAACGAGTTGAGCGTGGCACTACCAGGGATGTGGTGGGGATCCAACTCAAACCACTCGTTTATGAAGCGAGTGCTCTACCACTACACCACTACCGCATAACTACTACCACTACACCACTACTGCAGTGTTGATTCATTCTAGTGCGCTCTACCACTACACCACTACCGCATAACACTACCACTACACCACTACCGCAGTGTTGATTCATTCTAGTGATATTCAAAGTTTACAGATAGTTGAGACAAGGGGTGGATTCTGTGTATTTGTTTTGTTTGAGAAAGCTAACTTTCAAACATAAGATAAAATCCAAACATGTTTATGTTTATGTCAAATTAGGATATTTTGCGTGTTATTGGCATGATTGGAGCCTGGAAACAACAAAAACCCTAATTTTTTGCCCCACCCTCCTTGTCTCAAACGTGAGAGCAACGAGTTAGCAAACTTTTTTTTTTATAACTATTCTTAGCTAAGTTTATCTTTTACAAGAAGTTTTAAATTTCGTGCAATAATTTTATAGCGTTCAAAAATGACGGCCATTTAAAGTTTTAACTCCCCTCAATTTGAGGGGGTTACAAATTTAGAATGACAAAATTCTTGAACTATGAAAATTTTTTTCATAAATATTAGAATTTCTAAATTTAAATGAATTTAGTTAAGAATAGTTAATACAAAAATTATGAACTTGTTGCTCTCCTTTTTAGGGCAGGGGGCAAAATTTACAAGGTTTTTTTAGTTCCCTGGCTCCAAATATTTTGATATTTTTACAAAACGTCCTTGTTTTGACACTAGTATAATCATATAAATGTTTGGAGTTTACTCTATGTTTATAATTTGGTATCTAAAACACCAAAAAACGCTTGATCCGCTACTGAGTTAAAATTTCTTTTGCAAAGTGATTATTTAAAAAAGCGTATAAATCCAAAAAAGGAACGCTTTTTATTTTGTTTTCAATGGAATATATCTCATGCCCACCCAAAGTATTGATATCTTTTGAAACATCTTGAGTACCTTTTAGGTCAACCTAAAACCTATATATATATATATATATATATATATATATATATATATATATATATATATATATATATATATATATATATATATATATATATATATATATATATATATATATATATATATATATATATATATGTATATATATATATATATGTATATATATATATATATATATATATATATATATATATATATATATATATATATATATATATATATATATATATATATATATATATATATATATATATGTATATATATATATATATATATGTGTATATATATATTTATGTGTATATATATATATACACACATATGTAACAAATTTTATTGTCGTATAAAATCCCTGTCATTTTGATTTTATTTTTTGAAGTACTCAAATTGTTTTAATAAAAAAATATAATTCTAAATTAAAAAAAAAATCAAAAATGTATAACATTAAACCTGTATAATTACATCCAATTCCAATGTTCAATTGTTGTTGTCCTCCAACTCTACCAACAGAACTAAAACATCTAGAAAGTAATAGCAAAAATAGTATATCTTTTTTTCTTTTAACTGAAAAAAATTCCTACCTACGTAGGTATATACACATATATTTTAAGGTAGACTAAATTTCTTATGAGCAGGAGGGCCACTAGAGTCTAAGAGGCTAATCAGGGACTTTTCTTGCTTATTAAGCAACCGTTCTACCACTAAACAACTTTTATGTAGTAGTGTTGTGGTTTTGAAATATTTGCTTCATAGAGTTTATTTTTCGTAAAATAAAATAAAAACTTAAAAAGAGATTGAACAAATTTTATTTATTTGGATATAAATGTTTGTCAAACAAATCTTGTATCTAAGAAGACATTAACATACTAAAACATAGAACTGCATATAAAAATATTATTAACATAATAACAAAGATTATTAATAAAAAAACTGTGATCTATCAATATTTGTGCAACAAAAATAATCATGCAAACATGCAAAAATAATCATGCAAAAATATTTAATTTTTTCTTGTTAAAAGATATGAAAAACTCATGGTTGCAACCTACTGATAGAACTATGCAATTCTCTAGCATCTCTATAAAAGTGTGTTGGTTGTGTCTGAATAAATGTTACACAGACTTTCTTAGTTAAAATGAAATCTGCCCAAAATATCAACACTCAAATTTGGGGCTTGTTTGATTTTAACTCAAATTGCAACATCTAAGCAACACCATCTTTCAACAACTGTAAAACAAAGTGATTATTAAACAATTTAATTTAATTCTTTCAACAAGAACATTTCTTTTGCCATTTATTACCTTAAGGTTAATGCATCAATAAAAGTATTTCTGCTTCTAAGTTCCTAACTGCTCCAAAAATTCTTATTTGTCCAGTTTTTTTCCTCGTATATCAGTTCTTTGGAATTCACTTACCGCATCTTGTTTTCCTGATTCATATAAATTGAAATCTTTTAAATAGTCTGTCTATCAATAACTTGCTATGTAATTTTTTCGCTAGTAACTTCCAACTCTAGTAGTTGTTTCTTGACATAAAAATGTTAAAAAAACAAAACAAAAAAAAACAGACTTTATTAATGCATCTCTTTAAAAGAGGTTAATTAAACTTGATATCTCAGATATTAGCCTCCTTTTGTTTTACAAATAAATAATGATATTGAAGATGAAATGTTGAACTAATTTATGAACAACTGTCATTACTACACTGGAAATATATAAATTTTTCAAAGCAAATGGGATTTATAACTTTTTCTTTATGACAATCCAGGGCATATCCAGGAAATTGTTTTGGTACATCAAATTTTTTTACAAAAATCTCTACCACCTTTCCCTGGAGTGTATGAAGAGGGATTGCAAATATCAATTAATTACCCCATATTGCACAATAAACAGGTTTTTAATTACACGCTGTCACTCCAGCTCTAATTTAATCTTATATATATATATATATATATATATATATATATATATATATATATATATATATATATATATATATACATATATATATATATATATATATATATATATATATACATATATATATATATATATATATACATATATAAATATATATATATATATATATATATATATATATATATATATATATATATATATATATATATATATATATATATATATATATATATATATATATATATGTATAATATATATATATATATATATATATATATATATATATATATATATATATATATATATATATATATATATATATATATATATATAATAAATAAATATATATATATATACATATATATATATATATATATATATATATATATATATATATATATATATATATATATATATATATATATATATATATATATATATATATATGTATATATATATATATATATACATATATATATATATATATATATATATATATATATATATATATATATATATACATACATTATAGTGTCTAACCCAAATATGCAGAAAGAGACAGACAAAACAATAGGCGTCGCTACTTTTAATATAATAAAATTAGAATGTTATATCTTTGCAAACAAGCTGAAACTTTATGTGCGCTCAAAAGATGGAGCTAAATCCTGTGTTTGTCATCAAAAAAAACTTTATCATTTATAATATAGATCAAATTAAAAACTTTATTTAAAATTTAAAAATTTAAAATTATGATTGAAAGTTTTTTTATCGTCGAGGCGAGACATAAATATTTTATTGACGAGGCGAGACTTATTAAGTTATTCAGAAATTTAAATTATTCAGAGATGGAAGATATTTTAATTATTCAGAATTTAAATCATTAAAAACTAAATCACATTAAATGTTAAAAAGTTGTTAACTATAACTTTTCTCGTCGATATACTAGAAACAACACTAGAATCAAAATTTTCCTGTAAGTCCCAATAAAGTTACTTATTCAATAATTCATGTCCTGCATTTTAACCAATCCCTTTACCTTGTATGAAAAAAAACAAAATCAATCTAAATCTTTTCCCCATTTTTTTTTTTTTTAAGCTATAAATTTTCTAATTGCAGTTGGGGAGCATCCATGAAGTATGCAGTAAAACCGCTGATTTTGAACCCTCTTCTCTTGTATGCAGATAAACACTTGTCTATGACACGTAATTTTTTAAAAAATATTAAAAAATATATATTTAGTAAGTTTGATATATCTTTGTTACACAACATAAATTATAAAAATAAATTTTTTAAACTCGTGAAATTCAATGCTTTAATTTAAAAAAATATATATAAAAATATAGTTTTGGAGAAATAGAGAACAAGAGATAGTCAAACAGCGCATGTAGTTCCCATTTTTAACAACCTCTTCAGGGTTCCCACTATTAAAACTAAGGTTAAAAGTAAAGATTTTAAGGAGATTTAAGGAGATATTTTTGAGTTTTAGAGAAGAAGATTTGGTTGCGAACAATATATACAAAAAAATTATAATGAACTAATATATTACTTTACATATATATAAAAGTAAATATATATATATTCAAAATATAGGTTTGCAAACTATCAAAGAACTATATATTTTTTTCTTTATTATTAAGTATAATCCTTCACTTTATAAAATTTTCTAGATGAATAAAAAATAAAAATTATAAGGGAGAAATTAAGGAGAGCAGTCAAATTTTACTTTTTTTTAAGGATACTTAAGGTTTTTAAGGAAAAGTGGGAACTGTTCTTCTTGTTCACAATCATAAAGTTTTTGGTTAACTTTTCGCTATACCTTAGTACATACTTAAAGGAAGATCCTTAGTGCTAATAAATATTTTAGTTTTCAACCTACCCTTTATTTGGTACAGATGTAAAATAAACATAATCTAGTTCTTTAGTGTGAGGAACCCAAACAGCAGGATTCGTTTTACACAAGTTACTTGTCATATAAGAGTTCAACATACCAATAGCCTTTTTAATAACATCACTAAAATCTAAAAAAAAAGATTTATTTTTTTTAATTGTTTAACCATGATAAATTTAACTTTCTAATTTTTAAAATTTGAAAACAATTTCAAAGTTTAAAAACAATTTTAAATATAAAAAAAAAAAAAAAAAAAAAGAAAAAAAAACCAAAACTATTTCAAAATTATTATTTTACCATATCCAGGTGTCATTTGAATTTTGTAGGGAACTCGTGGTAGCCCAAACCTACTTATCCATAATGTTGGCATTGCACGTTTATTACCTTAAAATATCAAAAATAACACAATATATAAAAAAAAAAAGAAGCATTAAAGATAAAAAAAATTAAAAGTAACAAAAAAATACACATTACATTCTTTTTACTGATACTTGAAGTAAGCAATTGTTATCCATTCTTGGACACAATCACTTGATAGTAATATTCCTTTTACTAATTTTAATAATATTACATTTACCTCATTTTTGAATAGGCTTTTTGACAACATTAAACTCAAATTTTTTATTTTTAATCTTGCAGCTTATGATATAAAGAAATAAATTCTACATTTAATAAAAAATCTAAAAAAACAAGTAGACAAAGAGTTGTTTTAAACGGTACTTACTCAAACAAGGTAACCGTTGAGGTGGAATTCTTCAAAAGTCCATCCTTTCAGCTTTACTTTTTGTTTTATAAGTTAAGAATATCTCTGATGCAATTAAATCAAAAACTGTAATAATTTTTAAATATTGGGAACAAAAATTGATGAAAAACTTAGCATACCACAACTAGGACACAACTACAACTAGGACACAACAATAAACTCAAAACTTAGCATACTACAACTAGAACACAAAAATAAACTTAATACTTATACTATGTTTGATTAAAAACTAAATACAAGAGTAAATTAACAAAGTACAAACTAGATTCAGGTGTTCACGTAAACTCAAATTTTCAAAACAAACTTTCAATCAAGTCAAGAAATAATAGATTTAATAAATATTGAATCTTATCCAGATTTTATTCTTTAAGAAATTATTTTGCGCTCTTGTCCACTCTCAGTTCATTCTTATTTTGAGTATTGTTGATCAGTTTGCAACTTGCAGCTTTTTAAATGACACAGCTCTATTCAAAAAGTAGCAATTATTAAAAAAATTAATATTTCAAATAAATGTTAAACTTATCATAAAAAGTATAGATGGTAGTTATCGTTTCCACATAGATAATAAAATTGGTTAAATTTCATATATTTAGATGTTTCTTATTTTAAGTATAACAAAGGCATATAGCAACAGTTTATAGATGCTGTTATTCAACTTTTTTTTAAGAGATGTTCTCTGACCCTTAAAAGTGTTCTATATAATAAAATAAAACTGGACTTAAAAAATTTTTGTATATAAAATATTTAATATTTAGAGGGTTCACTAAGACCCAGACTGGTTCCTAATATTATCAACAAAAAATTTTTTGACAGTATGTAATGTTGAGTCTCAAATAAAGCAAAATTATATAAAAATTTTAACTATGAATAATTAATTAAAAACATCGATGTATGGGGTCATTCCATACAAAATTATACAGATCATGTCACCATTACGTCTCAGATTTTATTTTTACAGCATTTTCATTTGAAATTAAATAAATAGTAACTGCAATTATTTAAGATAAAAATACACATGGGTTGTTGAGATACCGTCAGTTGAAATAATGCACTATTCAGCATTTTTGTAATTATTTGAAGAGATAAGGGTTTCAATTAACAATTACAGGAGTTTCCTTTACTTTGGAATCATAATAGATATTTGCATGAGGTATTCAAAAAAACTACTCTTAAAAATTGTATTTTCAACACTATAGTTTTAATAACTAGTAAAGGATATATTCATAGTCATGGACAAATGAAGGGGGAATAGGGTTGGGGTACCCCCCTCCCTTCACCTTTTTTTCATTTTTTATTTTGTAAAAATAAGTTAATAATGACAAACTATTTTTAAAAAAGAGTTTAAAAATGTAATGAAAAAAAGGTTTTTGAGTTTTCAAATAGTTTTGCTTGCATTTCAAACATGGTAAATTGTTTTGTTGCATTTGAATTCATTTTCATTATTTATTTTAAAATTGTGAATTTCCAAACAATTTAGAAGATTGTATTTAAAAATGATAGTTACGATTGTTTTTAAAAATCATAGCATATGCCAGAATTTTATTGTTAAGTTGTTCTTCTAGCTCATGATATCAAAAACAATAAAAATAAAAAATATGGACATTGGAAAAACTCTCAAAACTTATTGCCGCAAAACTAGACTTTTTAGATATCATGGTTTTATTCAACTTAAAGATCTTTCTTTTGAACAGCAAAAAGAAATAATGCAGTTGGCAAATTTAAATGAAAAACTTGCTCAATCAATTGCATGCTGTTATCATAATTAATTCTATGAAAAACATTTTGAGATAAAAATTACAAAGATAACATTTATTATAGTTTATATGTTTAATAAAAGAAATATATATTATTAAGATTAAATTTTAAGTTGAATTTAATGCTTAATTAAATTTTTAGGCAATGCTAAAACTTCTGTACGATCAATATAGATTGTACAGAACAAATCTTTACATTACCTAAATATCGTTGATGTTTAGGCAATGTAAAGATTTCTCTAGACTTAGTAAAAATTTTACAAAAGATAATTAAGTGCTAATGAGGAAATTCTGAAGTTTTCTGACAAAAGGCAATTCACCAATCAAATTGAAGTGTTTTTAAAACACTGTAAAACACCTCTAGCAAAAGAAATGTTTGGCCACACTATCAGTGTTGTACCCAGCGATAGTTTGGGCGGTACCTGCCCAAAAAAAAAAAGGCTTAAAGCCGTTTTTGCTAAATACTTTCTTTCCCCCTCCTATATGGAACTTATGAGGATATAAATTGTTAAAGCTATGAAGCGTTATAAAGTACTCATTTTACATACGAAATGGCGATTTCGCCTATACGTTTAACTAAGTCTCGAATAATTTCAAATATTAAAATTGTTTTTGATATTGCTTATGCGTTTATATGTAATGTATTTATTTACATTAAATAAATTATTGTAAAAATAATTTATTTTGGCGCTTTTGTATGGGCTCCTATACCAGACAAACGGTTATGGAATTACATCTAGGTGCGACACTGACAATAGAAAAAGGTATCAAGTTACTTTAATCTATAAAGGTAGCAAGTTACTTTATATAGTATCTTGCTCGAACTTCAACCCATGTTAAAAATGAGCAAGGGATTCTATCGTAGCCAGGAAAAAAAATTTTAAACCCTCTCTCCTAAGAAAAACCTTGTTAGTAATAAATTTTTATTAAAGTGATGAGTTTTCGAGAATTATGCCAGAAAAAAAATATTTTTTTAGTGTAAAGAAATATCAACATGTTTAATGTAAAACGACAACTATCTTTACTTTTTATGAACTCTGCTCTTTTTCATACTATTTACAATTTTATACATTTCGTCAACAACAAAAGCTCCCTTAGGATAATTATGTACAAACAAAAAGTAAAAAAGAAATTACGACATATTTACACTAAGGATTTGTAAACGCTATTAAATTATAATAGCGTTTACAAATTAGCTATTAACATTTCCCCAAGAACTAAGTTCTTAAGGCAAATAGTCATTTAAATATGTCGGCCTTCTCCGTTCTCTAGTCGAACGTCTGTGCAACGGTAATAAATTATCCATGACTTCAATACCGTCATTTTCTTCGTCAGCAACTGACTCTTCATCAACTGACTCTTCAACTTCCTCGTCTCTTGCAATATGTAAATCGTCGAACTCACTTTCGTCGCTTTCATTTTCTTCAACACTATTCATTCTTGAAACTTTCTCACCATATGATTCAGGAACTATTTTCAGGTCTCTCACATGTCATGGTACACCATCAATTTCAATATTTGTTTTAGAGAGTATATTGGTCACGTTACCAATTTTCCAAATCGTTGTACACTTTGCACCAACAGGACGAACATAAACTTGTTCTCCAATTCTATAGGTTGCCGAGTCCTTTTGTGGTCTTTCGTGACTTTCTGTGTTGTGAATAGGTAGACGCCAGACGTACTTATTTTTTAGAGAAGCAGGTGTAGAGTCTTCTTGCGTTCCAATCATTGGTGTTGCATTATACCAAAATACCGCTTGTAACGGACATATCTGTGCTTTCGCAGATGTGCGTTTTACTGTGCGGTGGTTACGCTCCACGATACCATTTCCTGATGGTCTATATGCACATCTATACATCTTTTGCACACACCATTTTTTACACATGTTTGACAACTCATTTGATCTAAACACAGCTCCATTGTCCATCAATAGTTCGTGTGGCGGGCCATGCTCCCTAAATACGGAATCTAATTGAATTAATATACTCTTTGTATCTTCGTGTAGCATCTTTCTCTATAATGCGAATCGACTTGGTCCACAGTCAATCATTGTTAGGTACGGTGACCCTTTATAGTGAGTTACGTCACATGCAATACGATACCATGTATCTGGTACATCTAGCACTCCATGTTCTCATTTTATTGGTGCTGGATCAATTAAACTACATTGACGACATTTGCGCACACAGTCTTTATCGTCTTTTCTCGACACTTGCGGGATTCTTTGTTGTACTGTAAACATTGTTCGATTAACGCCAAAATGATGTTTCGAGTGACATTTACGAATTTCATCGGCAATATTTACCCCACATAATTCTTTAACATTTTTTCGTGAAATTTCATTTAACCACTTTTTTGAAACTCTTGTTAATACATCTGCTTTGTTTTTAGAAGACGGAACCCACTTCACTATGATGTTCATACTGTATTCCTTTATTAAATCACGCAATAATGAAAGTCTTCGTTTGATTAGCATTTCTGATAGTCCATTTGACCGAACCCTATGACTTTCAGTCAGCACACTTTTTAACCATCCATGAACAGTTACCGAATCAATAAATATTGATAGGTTCTTGATGTCCCACTTAACAGCTAGGTTTATTCCACGCACCACAGCATCTAATTTAGCCATATTAATATGCATGACATAATTTGTACTTCGTAGCCATGCTGCATCCTCAACTATTACGCCGTTATATTCGATTGCAACACCAATTGCAATACTACTAGCATCACACCACAATATTGCTCTATTTTGAATACCATCAGCATTCCATGTCCCATTTACAGGATCACTAGCTTCCAAACGGCGCAATATTTCGATCAACCATGACTGTGCTTGATCTCCTATTAGGTCATCCCAAGCA